GGCAGCATTACGGCCAGACATTTAAAAACACTGGTTCAAAACACAGCCCTTCAGTGATGATCCTGAACAAAACCAAACCAAACCTTACAACTCTAATTTACAGACGGAGTAAAAACAGCGTTTTGTCGATTTTGAGCCTGCCAGATGAATCCATTAGGTAGGCAACTTGGATACACTTCTTTCTGAGAGAAGGATCCTTTGCGGGATGCAGTCGAGATAGTCCTGTTCTCAGGAGCAGTATTTTAGTTTTCCACTCAAAAAAGCTTCAGAACCTTTCATTTTTAATTTAGTGATCAAAGGAAAGGGTGGTGACACAGACAGAAACTTTCTACTCATTTAACTTTTACAACCTGAGCAAAACCTGTTCTTTTACCAAGCAGTTCTCATTTTTCAGCGCCTTGAATACATAAATGAAAAGGAATGGTGTTTGGCTGACAGGGAAAAGAAGGACAGAACCATATTCTACAAACTTCTTGGGTTGCACTTGATTTCTGGACTTGACTTTCCCATCAGATGCATTTCCGGGCAAACAAAACAACACACGCTCAAATGCAAACAAAAAACAAACAACACAAAACCCTTCTGAGTTGGATGCTGGAAAGGCTTTCTCATACCCCTACTCTAAGAAGGCAACACTTCTCATCACCCAGAGGAAATAGTAAGCGGTCTACCATGTTGGCCCATACTCCAAGTGTTAGCCTTGGCTTCACATTTGCAGCTGAAAATTTCAACGGAGGAGTCATCCAGAGCTTGGTCTTTGGGCCTCTCCTTATTTCTATGTTCCCTGCCTTGGAGATGACATCCATCGCATGATTTTAAGTACCATCTGCATACGGACCATTACCAAATTCACACTGCCACCAAGACCTTTCTCCTGAACACCAGACACACATCCAATCACATACAATGCATCTGGAACTTAACACGTCCAAATGTTAACTCCGGATGTGTCCCCCACACCTGCTCCACTCAGCCTCCCCCATCTCACTTAAAGGCAACCTGTCTCTTCCCTTGTTCTAGCCATAAACCTTGGAGCTCTACCCCTCATCCAATCCATTAGCGCATCCTGTTGGCACCCCCTTCAGTATGCATGTATCTGGATCTGTCTGATGCTGCTTTGCATGATCTTTTGCCAGGCCTGTAACAACAGCTTCCCAGAGGTGGGATGGGGTAGAAACAAATAGTCTGAAAAAGCACTTTCGAAATTCCCGTCGGTTTTTAATTTGCTTTTAGTCGTGATAGCTTATTTGAGATTTCAAATAAGATTAAATGAGGTAGAGAAGTTTTTTTTTTTTTTTTTTTTTGGAGTGGAGAAACTGTACTTTCAAGAATAGCATGGGCTTCCACTTTCTAATTTCTAAGGGCTTCCTGTATGTCAGATCTAGGATTTCACTCCCACACGCTTTTCTAGGCTTCCTGCTTCTATGTGTGGATTTTTTTTTGGCACAGTATTTTTTTTATTCACTTAAAAAGGTAAATAAAACATAGCCCAAATGTGTGGAGTTTTTGTTGTGTTTTGTTTTCGCTTTTGCAAGGCTCTGAATCCCTGATTCCTTGTATCTATCCCAAACGACAAACACTAAGGAGTAGCGTGTAATTGCAGTGCCTTCCAGTCCCGAGGAACATAAACACGGTAGAGTTATTTGGGGTTCATCTTGGGGCTCATCTGATCTCCACTGCTTAACAATCTCCCTTTCACTCACTCCCCTTTATTTTTTTTATGACTGTTAACATCACTAATAACTCAGTGGGCACTCATCATATGTCAAGCTCTGTGCTAAGCAATACACTCACTCAACAAATATGTACCGAGTTTATGGAGTGCCGTGAGTTGTCCAGTAACAGCCCTGGACATGCTATCTCACTATTCTTAGGCGTAAAGACAGACGAACATGTAAATAAGTCAAACTTATTTTGTTTGGTGTGTAGGTGGTGATATGAATTATGGAGAAAATCAAGTGCGTGGGGGATTAGGAATGCTGGCATGGGGGCCAGGACGCTGCACTCCTAGGGGAGGCAGTCAAGGTCAAGGGCTGCCTTGCTGATGTGGCTCTCGCACAAAATCTCGCAGGAGGAGGAAGCAGCCCTTGTGAACATTCTGTTTAATCCTCACAGTAACCAGAGGTGATCGTGTGACATCGTCTTATAAATGATAAAGGCCACAGAATTAAGAACTGGAGAGTCTGGGATTGTGACCAAGATCTGCGTGACTCCAAAAACCTTGTCCTTAATTAACCACGTGCATTGCTTTCAGATTTATTCTAAGCGAAGACTGAACCCAAACGTTTCCATAATCCTAGACCAAGGGGGATACTGCAGAGACAAACAAAAAAGTGACATCTGTGTGAAAGGTCAAATGCCTTAATCGCTCTTTATTAGAGAAACGGTGGGGGGGGGGATTCACAGAGGTAACTGATCTCCTTAACCTGACATTTAATCCGAGCAGTTCTCCTCGAGCTCACGCTTTGAGGACGGTACACTGGCTCGGTTCCAGGCATCCGACGGACTTGGGCAGACTTTAATTTAGCCAAAGTCAAACAAACATGGAAGGCGTCCCAGCTGTTCCTTTAACACATGCAAATGAACGTGACACAGTAGCTGGAACTCAAATTAGCCCCACCTATAACACATCCCACCATGAGATGAATAGTCAAACATCTGTTTGGACAAACTCCTATCTCAAAAACTGAAAAGAAGCTATGTCTGTCTATGTATAGTTTGGGGGACTTTGAAGGGGCTCACAATGGAGGCAGAACCACAGCCCACACACTGATGGGCTGTCACCAAAGACACTACTTTCTCGCAGCTCGAAGGAAAAGTCTGTGGAGGGAGAGCCACAGCAGAAAAGCCACTCATACCCAAACGGTGCAGTGACACGCGCACCATCTCACGGAGACAGGATTCCAGCCACCAGGTAAGGTTTTGGAGCTAGATTCTGCTAGAACTTTAACCACTCTCTCGGGTTTAGGCCAAGCCCCTCTGAAAAGCCACACTGCCCCTTTCTGGCCTTAAGTTGGCTGCTCCTAATCACTGGGCAAGTTTTAACACAGCAGGAGCCTCAGTTTCCTCTCCGTGCAATGAGGACAACCTTTGTGTCCAGCGCCATGAGTCAGGAGGATGGCGTGAGGGTGCCCCAAAGAGCATTTGGCACAGTTAGCCTGGGGATGGATGGTGGTGGGGATGCAGGCACCTGGGGCCTCTCCCCAGATAGGCAGGCACATCCACACCTTGGGATGGGACTTTCAGGGTCCCAAAGCCTCCATGTGGCCTCCCCGGGGTCCTTGGATCCCAGGTCAGCAAACCCCATTTTAGAGAGGGTGTTAAACAGTTAACCATGCTGACTTTAACCAGGAGCGCAGCATCAGGACTGCCCCTGAAGAAGAATGAATGGATCACAGGAGATATTAAGCAATCTCCTGGACTGGATTTTGAAGAATGGTAGAATTTTAATATCACATACATTTACATATCGATCATACGTTTCGTATACTAAATATATCACACGCACACTGCACGCTTACTTCCCCAGTCCAAAGACTTATACATCTACATCCTTATGCGCGGCTATGGGTGTACAGAGCTGTCTAGAACGCAAAGAGACCTGTTAAGGGAGTGAGCACTGGCAGTTAACTGGTACCTACACAGTTAGGTCAAGTTCCCCTGAAAGTAGGAGAGAAGAAAAATACTTTCCACATATGCTACTACCTTACAAAATAAGGGCAAACTTTAAGATGTGTTTGTGTGTAATTTCGTTGACTTTCGTCGTTCATCAGCTTACCCTCCTGTCAATCCCTGGACACACACCCAGAGCAATCGGATCCCTGGCTGGCTCCCGGGAAGCCCAGCACAGCCTGTCACAGCCACGTCGCTGACCCTCTTTCTGGAGGCCTGCAGCTCAGGACCCACCCCTCCTTGGGGCCCTTCCTGGCCTTCCCACCTCCTGGGGGCCCCGAATGCACTGATTTGGAACAGACTGTCCAAGCCTCAGGGTACTGCACCCCTTTGCTTCCTGGTGCACCTGTCATCCCCCACCCGCCAGGACAGGCCAAGACCTTTCTGACTGGAATCCCAGGTCCCAAACACAGCGTCTGAGCCGCAGTAGATGCGCCTCCATCATGTGCCAGCCCTGACAGAGGACCGGCTCCCTAAGTTACTCAGTGAGCAGGAACGCCCACCCAGCACCCAGGAAAGCAGCTGCCCTCCAAAGGCAGCTGCTTGTTTTTTTAACAATCCGAAACAAGACGAGTCCCCAGCGAAGCCCATGGGAACAGCCTCCCAATCAGAGGTTCTTACCAGCAAGGCTTAGCGGTAGGAGTAAGGGCTAGGGATACCACTCCCCTCGTAAGTGGTGGCGAGCACACGTCAGTATGGCTGCAGACCTCGCTGGCCGACCCTGATAAACCCCAGGGTGCCCTCTACCCTCAGGTCCCAGAGCCCTGAAGAATCAATAGAAGGATGCAGACAAGAGCTCCTGCTGTGGTCAGGGGTCACCCTGTGCCTCCTGTCTCGATTTCACACCCACCCTGCTAGGCCGTCTCCTTCCCCTTTCTACTCCCTACAGCATTTCCGACTTACACTGTCCTAATAAGCAATAATTCCCATTTTCTTCCTACCAACGAGGTCGTGAACAACAGGAACCGATGCTTGTGCGTGTGGATGGATTTTAGAAATGACACGTGATGAGTGAACATGAGGCCAGTAACACAACTTTCTCCTGCTGACTCCCACGCTCTGGCCAGCAGCCTGCAGCCTCCAGATCCTGCCTCGGCGCATCCGCAACGCTGGAATCCGATCCCAAATGGATCTTCACCACTTCCCGTGGGTGAAGTCCCATTGCCGTGTGCCTCTGAACTTTTCCTAGCTTTGCCACCCCGTAAAAGACACAACACATGGTCAGCTGCCCGGAGGAACAGAAAAACGTTAGTGGCACAGTAAAAGCTACTTACTGGGCTGTGGGAAAACAAGTGAAGCCCCGGGCCCACACCCGGCTCCGTACTTACTGGTCGTGTCTGGTGTCAGGTATGGCTCTGTCCATCCGCAGCTTATCACTTTCCACCTGGTTGAATTTGTTGCGGGCGTAGGGGTCCTGCCCAGAGCGGACCATTGTCCCTCCGACGTAAGCTTCCTGGTTAAAGTCCCGCCACCGCACTTTTCCTGCAAGAAGCAGAGCAGAGGGTGTGGAACCGGGAAATGAGCCCAGCATGGCCAGCACACACCACAGGAACTGTGCTACCTTAGGGATTAGTGCCCAGGCTTTCCTCCCCCAGCAACCGTCATCGACAAACTAGCTGGGAACAGCCCGAGCGAGCACCATCATGTCCATACATTGGACAGTTTGCAACAGGGAAGTTAGACTTGGACCTCAGGTGTTGTCTAGTGAATAACAGTCTCTGCCCACCGAAGTATGCATAAGCACGGTAAGAGAGGAGATTTTCATCTGCTTGTCCCTCCTGCCCAGGGATTACGGTGATGCCCCAAAGCACCTCAGATATGGTGAAAAAGATAATGTCCAAAATCAACATAAGGCATCCCATCATGTTACGTCAGGTATCTCAAAAATAAATGTCTTTTTAAAGATATTTATTTATTTATTTTGAGAGAGAGAGAGAGCGCGCGCACATGAGTGGGAGGGGCAGAGGGAGAGGGAGACTCTCCAGCCAGACTCCGCGCTCAGTGTGCAGCCCAGTGGGGCTCGAACTCACGGCTCTGAGACCAGGACCTGGACCGAAACCAAGAGTCAGATGCTTTCACCGAGGGGACCACCCAGGTGCCCCACAGAAATAAATGTTTCAACAAGGAATAACACCCCCAAGAACACCCCTTGGTGAGACTCCCTCAGGGATTCTTCTTGGAGCGGCTGCCATGTGTGTCCCCACGAGGGGGTGAGCGAAGCCATTCCTACCACACACACCTCCTAGCACACGCGTCCAGGGGGAATGGAGGCACGGTGGCCTGTCCACGCGTGTGGCGCCCTGACTCATGATCAGATACGCAGCTGCCGCTCTAGAAGGCCAAGCACGGGGTTCTCCAGGAACACGGCAGTGGAGTGGGGAGCATTTACTAGGATCTGGCACAGGTGCCGTGCTGGCAGTAGCCTGGGATCTACAAGAAAGAGAGCACTGCAGGGTGGGGTGAGCCTGGACAAGCCCGGGCGTGATGAGGACAGAACCTGGAGAAGCATGCAAAGCCATCAGCTCTCAGAGGGAAAGAGAAAATTCAGGACTTGATGGCCACCCCGGCTTTAGACAGCTGTTTGCCACTTGCTACATTCATGATCGTGGTCAAGTTTTTTATTCTTTGAAACAGTTTCCTAAAGATAAATAAATTTAAAACAATGAAAAAAGGCTCTTCATGACGATTTAATGGCCTATTATGTGCCAGTTTGGTAGGTGTAGCAAATTCAAGCCAAACTCAAAAAGAAAACTATGACAACAACCCTGCCCGATGAAGCTCATGAAATTCCAGGTGGTCACAGTGCTGTGAAGAAAAGGCACGAAGGGGCAGACCATTCGGGGGTTGCTGTTTTATATGGGGTGTCTGATGGGGCTCTCTAATAGGGTGACTTGGAGCAAACACCCAGACAAAGGGAGGGAGCGGGCCACGTAGCCCTCCGGGAAGAACACAGGAAAATACTCAGGGAACCGCAGTGCAAAGGCCCTGGGGTGGCAGTGAGCTCACCTGTCCAGGACCAGCCAGGAAGCCAGGTTAACAGAGTGAGGTGCTGGTCAGAGAGATGAAAGCAGGCCTGCTGACAGCTACCCAGAACAGACCAATGTGTGCAGGCAAAAGCTCTTCTGCCTCACGTCAAACGTTGGTTGGGTTGGTTAAGTAAAGATCAACAATACCTACATACATGCTTTTCCAACATGGATCTCTCCACAAACAATCAAAAGAATGTCCGGTTCCTTTCTCTATTTCAGAGATGAGGAAACTGAGATTCCCTTACAGGAGATCTGTTCAAGGCCATAGAATAAATTTTCTATCTAAAAGCTCATCTGCTTCTTGTTGCAATTGTCCTGCGAGGTCAAAACCTCCCATCTCATCGCAGCTGGTTGCCGTGGAAATGATGCTTGGGGTCACAGAGGTCCAGTCTCTCAAATGGAAAAGCAGTTTCAAAACTCACGAGCTCTCTGGCCATGACTATACCATGCCCCCAATAAATGTCTGGTCATGGGAGCCAGCCAGAGGGTCAGCATTTTCTCCCACCTAAAATAAAATGTTTCCAAAACATTTTTTTTGGAAACATGTTTTTCATGCTAAGGCAACCCCAGAAATACTTATCAATCCTCCTCTTTCCCCACCTTTCTGCCTTCCCCCTCATAGACTCTTGAGGACAGAGGAGGAAAAACCACCCACCTGTGCTCAGACTAACACAAATCAGAGCCTCAGCTAAAATCTATACGTGCAACACTTACTATGGAATCTAAATGAGCTGGTTCCCACTAATGCTTAATGGCCTGAATACCCTTTACTGCAACTAGGAGCTTGTAACGATGGAACTGGGAACTGTGGAGCCCCATCCACAGCCAGAGAAGCGACCATCACCCAAGAGATGTTCCGTCGCTAATTCTGCTTATGCTCCCTACGTAAGCCTCACTGGGAGCACTGGGGACAGGAAGAAGGAGGTCCGCTCACTCTCAGTCGGTGTGGGTCTGTGTGTGGGAAGAGCAGTGGCTAAGGGCCAAGGCCTCTGCCGAGCTCCTGGGGCTTCGATCCCACCTGTGCATCTTGTGCTATCAGACCCCCGCCCCTTTTCTGGAAAAGACCTGAGTACAGCAGAGGGTTTTACGGGATGCCTGATGTCAGTCGACTGGGGGGACTTGGCCCCAAGCCACTGGTTCATACTAGGTGTGGATTATATGCTAGGCATCTCAGTGGCTCCTGAATGAACAAAACCAGACCTGTCCTGTGGAGGTCATGTTCTAGACGATGGAGGGAGACAATCAATAAAATGACCATCCTAATCAATGTATGATTAAAAACTGAGCCAGGTGTCCTGATGGCAAGAATTGTGGCTCTATGGAGGCATCTAACAGAGGAAACTGATGCGGGCAGGGAAAGCAGGGAAGGCTTCCCCGGGGAAGGCCCGCCTGAGCTGAGACCTGAACAATGAGTAGGAGTGACAGAGGAGAAGCCATCCTCCAAAGACGGTAGGAACCCACTCAGAGGCGGCCCTCCGTGACTGCTGCCGACTCAGGAACGTCTCCGCCAGGGCTCCTGGGGGGGCTCTGCCTTGACTTGTGACAATTAACTTTCCCACGGCATAAGACCATTTTCCTGGAGACAGATTGTAACTGATTGTAACTCTTTCATAAAAGTTTAGCAGCATGTTGGAACCCAGCAGGGACGTTCGAGCATGTTTGACTAAAGGATGCACATTCTTCTCTCCCGTCCCAGATGTCATGACATGCGTGTATGCACACAAATGCAATGAAGATCTAGTCTGTTCTGTTTTCCTTACGTGGGTGTGACAGACCCTCTAATAAAGGGTCACAACCCGTAATTTGAAAAATGCAGGGCTAAAGAACCATTATAGAAAGGAGTTATTTCTGTAATATATAGAATTCCTCAGGTTGGAGCCGCCCGAAGAGGCAGAGGCAGGAAAGAGAGCAGGGTTCCCAGAGGGGACGTATGCCCCAGTCCGATTCCGGGCAGCAAGGGGAGCCCCCAGAACAGGAGGGGCATAAGTTACAGGTTGGAGAGAAATAGTCCAAACAGTAGATACAATGTCTGAATATCCTGACTTTTAAAAAATGCCACTCATATATCATCTCGCACTTCTATTGCCTCTTTAAAATTTGTAGAAAAGAGCCTTGCAAATTAAGAGCTTTAGAAAACAAACACACAGAAATACATGCAAATCTAGTGACCGTGCACTTGGCTAGGCAGAAGCAGTGGACAGGAAATACCCCAGAGATAGAAAATGTTATAGGAAAAGCCAGAAACCAGCTTCATCCCCAAAGACGATGGGAAAACAGCCTGCAGTTAAAGAACACGACAGCAGAAAGCAGATATTACCCTAAGAAGGCCTGTGAAAACAGCTCTTTTATTAAATGAGGTTATGAAAATATTGATGAAGAAACTGATTTCCAGAAGATGGACTTCTCTGGGAAGGAGGGACTGTGTGGCCTTGGGAGTGTTGAAACCTATGATTCTGTAAACCTGAGACTCTTTCTGATGGTCACTGTGTGGGTAGGACGAGGCACCTGTCTGTGCCCAGTGCGGCCAGGGGAGGATCCCCCCACCCCGTGTGAACACATACAGCCAGCCCAAGCCCACCTTGCCTTTCAAGGTCAAGCTTGCCCGTCAAGGTCAAGCTTCTCAGAGAAGCAGGCGGCTTCCAAAGCTGCCCCACCTGCCTCCCATCACCCCGGGCACATGCCTTCCCCTCCCAGCTGGACTGGGAAGGAGCTCCTCACCCCAGAGCCAAATCTGTTTTGTTGCTATTTCTCACCCACGGACCCCAGCACCCCACGCACACTGCACGCACACACTTGTTGACCCAACTATTATGGATGGTCTCCCCCTGGGTCTAAGGCACCCAAGGCTGATCCTGAAGAAGCAACCCAAATCCTGCACACTGCCCCGAAGAACACAACTTCAGACTGGCTCTAAGGAGTGGCACCCTCGGGCAGCTGACACCCATGTCTGAGAAGCGCTCTCCACCCGGGGCCGGACGGTGGCTCCTTCCCTTCGTTTGCTGACACTGCTGGCCCGGTGAGCCCGCCAGGTGGATCGCCGCTCGCCGTGCAGAGAAACTGAGGACGTGGCGTTAATGGTGGTCCTGCACCAATGCTGGGGTCACAGATGGGGCTTGGAGGTCCACAGCCGGCGTTCACTGAACCTGAGCAGAGGAGCAGCCTGGAGGGGCGAGGGCCTGGGCCCGAGACCCAGGCGTGAGCTCAGTCCCCCCACCCCTCCTGACCCTCAGGACTGTACGCAAGCAGAACGACATTCCACCTCTGAAGTTGTGATGAAACATAAATGAAGCCATGACAGCAATAACAGTTCCTAAGCCACTGACGACCGTCCAACATTTACTGACTTCACAGGCAGAACTGGCCAAACACACGAACACGATCACCCCCACTTTGCTGATGTAACCCCTACCTCGGCTCCTCACTCACAAGGCTTCCCCTGGGTGTCCCACCTCT